CCCCCCCGCCCCACTGCCTTCGTCCTCCTCTTACTCTGTGGAAACACGAGAATGCCCTTATCAAGTCAAGAGTCGAGACAAATTTTATTGTCAGCCCATCTCTATACAAGTATACAATAGGGCTGAAATAACGTTTCCATGGGACCCATGGTGCTACATTCAGCTACATGAGCTCACACTCACAGATGCACAGAGATTCACGCACTCCCCCCCCACACACACAGCTAAGCTACGCTAACATAAGACGTGGGTTGCGTCTGTCTCTCGCTCTGTGTGTGCGTGCGTGTGAGTGTGAGAGACAGAGGGTGTGTTGGCATGCTCAGTCGCGCTGTCTCGGTTCCCAGCGGCGTGCGGCCTCGGAAACAACATGTTCTCACACAGGCTCCTCCTGTACTGATCAGCACCCCTCCCTCACTCCGGTGATTAAAGAGGACAGAAGTAACCGTGTTTAAGGCCCTGTATAAAACAAAATCTGATAGCCTCCTCTGAACGCTTGTCAGCTCCTCTCAGCGTCATTATAAAAGAGCAGTAAATGTTTATAGAAAAGCTTGTCGCTGTTTGATGAACGTTTTTTTGAACGTTTATTGCTTGGCCGGGTGATTTCTTCCCCGCCTGGCTCGGAGGCCTCGGCCCGAGACCCTTGGTCCTCCAATAAAAGGCCCGGGGTTGTTATTTCGGCTTTTTATCCCCTCGTTTCCGCTCCGGTGTTGTTCCTTCGTTAATTGGGTGTGTTTCACGCGCGCGCGACGATGGCGCCTGGTGTTCTGCTGGCAGGGGAGGGAGGGTTGGGGGGGGAGCGCTCCACAGACACAATCCGTGGCTCCTCCAGCTCCCAGCTGCCCACGCCGGCGCCCAGATGATGCTCGCGGTAACCCCAGCCGCGGTCACACAAGGCCGGGGGAGCTCCTCTGTTAAAGACGCAGGGTCCGGGAGCAGACCGCGACCGAGGCTGGTCGATTTCATCCTCACATTTTTCATGCTTTTTATGGACCATGTACGGTTGGAAGCGTACAGTGTTGGACCACGTAAGGTTGGAAGCTTAGTTATGGACTGCATATGGTTGGAAGCTTAGTTTTGTACCGCATATGGTTAGAAGCTTAGTTATGGACCGCATACGGTTGGAAGCATATTTTTATGGACTGCTTACAGTTGTGTTGTACTCTGCCTCACTTGTAAGTCGTTTTGGATAAAAAAAAACCCTGCCAAATGAATACATTTAAACAGAAATGTAAATGTGGAAGATGGTGACGCTTCTAATGTTGACGTTTTTAGGGGCTGTCAAACATCCTTTGCTCTGTGTTATGATTGGATGGTACAGTATCATAGGAATCATCAGTGTTTGGCCATTCAGCTGTTCGACGGTAAAGATTCTACAAGCCCCTTCCTTCCACTGACCGCTCCTTTGACACAAAATGGATGACCCACGAAAGCCGCCTCCCACATCTGAGCCAGAAGCCGTGTAGGGAGCGCCGAGCTGTCCGGGGTGGGCGTTCTCTCCCTCCGAAACGGCTACATTATGGATGTGGCGGCCCTGCCGCGTAGGAAGGGGAAGAGGCGTGTTTTTAATCGGCGTAAATCCGCGGTAATGAAGGTGGATTAGGTTATTCCACTCCTTAGCAGAAACGAGCACAGAGATAATTTGCCTGGAGACGCCAGGAAAGCCCTGCCGTATTTAATAATCCATTATCTCCACGCCTGGAACGACCTCTTTCTCTCTGTGTTTGTGCTCGCCGCTTGGCAAAGGTTGCCCTCGACTTCCGCTCTCTGATTTCAGAGGTTTTTTTTTTTTTTCTTTTCAATACCTTTGATGGTCAGATTAGGTTCTGAGCGCTGAGGTTTCCATTTTGCTGTATGGACGATCGCGCGAGTCAATTCTCAAAGCCCTGAAACGTGTATATTAATAGAAGTTCTTAGAAAGCATTAAGGCAAGCAGCTTTAGGTTTACCTCACAGAATCCATCGGACATGTATGTGTGGATGTGTGTTTTTTTTTTGTCGTTTTCCGGGGAAAGAGGCCTACAAATATTCGATAATGAACCACAGGGGGAAAGAGTTTAGCCTGGCGCTCCGAGCTAAGAAGTCATCTCCCCTTTCGAGGTGGATCCATCAGCGTTTGCCTCGTCCAAACAGCCTCTTTCCCCGGGTTTCCCCTCTTCTTGAAGAGCCGCACCAAGCCCCCTTTTTTTACGCCGAAATTAATTTGGCTTATAAAAAGGCCGAGGCCAAATGGCTACGCGAGGCTATATCCTTTCCCCATTACGAAGCCGTGAGAGGAGTCCCATCAGTGTTATCAATTCTTCCTCGCTCTCGATCAAAGGCAATAATGGCCCCCCGCCCGAGCCCTCCCCCCCCCCACCCCCCGCGGCGCCTGCGCCTTCTCCCCGATACAGGAGAATACGGATCATTACCCGAGATCAAACGGAATACGATTCCGCGGGATTTCATAAAGAGGAGACGAGGAAATGGAAGGCCCCGAGTCGATATGGTGACGCCGCACTCCTTTAAGAGCCTTCTTAGGAGATAAAATTGTTATAAAAGATGGGCAGATATGACCATAGGTGAAAGGAGGTGGGGGGTGTAGGTTTATGTCGGGTGGAGTAGGGGAGATAAACACAAGGCCTCGTGTTTGAAGCGGCCAGGAATTTCCGGCAGGTTTCTGCGCCCGGTGCACGCTGGAAATAACCAGGCCACAGCCCGACGGCAAACGAGGCCACTCCGCCGCCCCCGTTTCGGGGAAACCGAAATGACACCGAGGACAATGGATCACCAAAGCGCCGTCCCCATTTTTAGGGGAAAACTCCCCTCCCCGCGCCCCGGTCACCTCGCAGGTTCGCAGGCGGCTGTTGTGGCTGGCGTTTGCACGCCGGAGCGGGATTAGGTGTTTTTAATTAGATTTCTTACCCGCAGAATTTAATCTGCCTTTGTGAGAGTGACAATTCACATTTAATTAATCTCGTTTATATCTTAATGATATTTAACCCATTCATTTTAGCACTTGTCACTTAAGGCCGACCTTAATTAAAAAGCTCATTAACTCTCTATTTACATTAGTGCACCTCTCCTGCTATTAGGAGGCCGATGCATTAGGTAATCCATAAAATGGATTCAGTCAGAGACCACATGCCTTTTATGTTGTTAATTATCTTTTTTTTTTTTTTTTTACTCTTTTCCTTGCCACTGGAAAAAGGGGGAATCTTGCCCTTTCCTCGGCAAGATGTTCAGATGTTCGTTCTTTGAACTCTGTAGCCAGCGGCCATTTTCCCGCTCAAACTGCACTCCTGTGGTGGCGCTGTGAGGGGAATCCTGATAACGTCTTCACACAAGCTTCTTTGTGCCCGCACATAGGTGTGTGTGTGTGTGTGTGTGTGTGTGTGTGTGTGTGTGTGTGTTTGTGTAGGGACAGATACGGAGACAAAAATGATAAATTGATTTTGCCTCTCTAAATGTTCCCCGCTGATAACACTTCCTGATACTTCCTGGACATTTTGGGCCAGCTGAAAACGCTTGATTAATTCAGCCGTACCCTTTTGTTTAGTTTTTTTTTTTTTTTGTGTGTGTGTGTGTGCGCGTCGATGTTGGGAACATTTGGTGTAATCTCGGAAGTTGCAAAGCCTCCGCTCCTTAGTGTTAATTGAATTCACAATTTACGATTTTAGCACCATTTCGCGGGCTGTGTACCGTGGCAGGGCAATATGGATCGGAGGTCTGGCCCACCCCCAGCGGCCGGGACGGGTGGAAGTCGTTAAGAAGTGGCGGGTTGGACGGAGGAGGCGCGGAGAGGCGCTGTGTGTTTTATTTGTTATTGAAAATAAAAGATAATGTGCTGTCGGCTCCTCACACACACCCCCACCCGACCTGGGGAGGAACAGATTGCTTCAGTTTGTAAACTCCATCGGCATTGTGTGCAGTACCAGATCACTGGCATCTGTGTAAGGGAGAGAGAGGATGAAGGGGGAGAGAGGGGAGGGAGGGAAGAGAGACAGATAGAGGGGGAGAGAGGGAGATAGAGTGGTGGACGGGAAAAGAAGAGAGCTACTCCCCCTCTCTACATTCTCCTACACTCCTTTCCAAGAGTAGTGGGGGGAGAGAATTAGACAGACTGAGGGAGAGAGAGGTGATGCGATTGGGGAAGGGCACGAGGGGACAGAGAGGAGTGTGAGGGAGAGAGAGAGAGAGAGAGCAAGTAGAGAGGGAGAGGGACAGAAGAGCAGCGGCGTTCCGACTCACTGAGAAAGGTCTGGGATAAGGAGAAACAGATGCCACACCAACCGGCGACACGCTGCTAGCGGCCAGGGGGAAGCGGGAAGGAGAGCAGATTAGAGAGGAGCGCGGCGTACAAACGCTCTCTCAGCAGCGGGGCAGCACTGCACACACACACACACACACACACACACACACACACGCACGCACGTTCACAGGCACCGCCGTGTCCCCTGCATCGTTATACACTGTTACACACAGGCCGCTACGCATCGGCACGCTCCAGCGGAAACCAGCACGCCGGCGCGGTATAAACGGGGCGTTTTTACATTTCCAGACGCAGCGCGTTGAGGGAGCGTTCGACGCGTCGGGGGAACCCCAGGCGCCTTTTACACGTCGCTGATGAAGCGCGTCCGCGGCCGTAGCCAGAAAACAAAAGGCCAACGCGCTGTCCTGGAAGATGGACCGTGTAGGGGGACCCCCACCCAAACAACATGGTCACTCTCAGTTCCCTTTCTCTGTCCTGTTCCCAATGCCCTTAGCAGCCAGGTTTCCGCTGTGTGTGGAAACAAGAAACCTGCCTTCAGTCACAAGTCTATTCTGTCTAGCTACAGTTTGCTTCATTGCTGCCTCTGCACTGTGAATTTTACCAATTATAAAAGTCCAAGAAAATTAGCTTGTGAAGCAGTATGTTACATTATTGTCATTTAGCAGAGCGACTTACACAGGTTACCATTTTTTTCCATTTATACAGCTGGATATTTACTGAGGCAATTCTGGGTTAAGTACCTTAACCCAAGGGTACAGCAGCAGGGTATCGAACCAGCAGCCTTTCGGTTACGAGCCGTGCTCCTTACCATTATGCCACACTGGTACCCACGTGTTGCCCACCGTTGCCCCAAAAGGAAACGTGTTCTAACCTCAGGACACACAGCGCATGGTGGCTAGGTTGAGCAAAGGGCTGGTCAGGATGGCAGCATAATTCAGCCAGCCCCTCATCTCCGTCCTGTTTCCGAAGGGAATGCCCGCCCTAATAAACCTGTAAAAGACGGCTGATGGCCGTTGTACATACGTGCCGCACCGAGACACGGAACAGAACATTGAATTTGTCCTTTTACACGCCGCACGTCTTCATCGGGCCGTGATCGAGTTACACGCTGTGTCATTCCGTTCGTTCAGGACAAGGTGGAGGAAAGGAACAGATTAGCCAGCGTCTCGTTTTATTCATTTATTTTTTTTGTCTCCTCCGTCCAGACGTCGGCGATTTGATTTGAGCGGTCACAGACCCCCCCCCTCCCCGTGCCACCGGGGGCCGCCTCTGCCATGTCACCCCCTCTTTTTTTCTCCCCACCCCGCCTCTTTACCTCTTCACCTCGGGAGAGCTGTAATTAGCATGACACAGGTGCGTCGGCGACGTCTCCTCGCCGAGCGTCGCTTCGCGCTCCATCAGGCTGCGCGGCAGAGGCTGTCAACAAATTTAACAGCGCCGTTAACAGAAACCTCCGCAGGAACAAAAGCCACCCGAGGCGATGATAACGCCACTTCCCTAAAAAAAAAAAAAAAAAATTAATAAACAAACACAAAAAGAGCTGTCTCTGCATGTGCCTTGTTCCAGTTTAAATATACAACGGCACTTTGTTTGCTGGGACTGTTTCTTCTGGGTATTTGAAAGCTGTCATATTTTATGGTTACATAAGAAGTATTAATTTCACACAGTAGTATATTTGCTCTGAAGTAATCATACATAAATATTACATATATGTATATAATATAGAATATATATAATATATGTGTATATTTAGTATATAGAGGGTTTGATTCATTGTTTGGGAAAGGCTCCGGTCAAGGAAATGGATTTTTCTACTTGTATAGATCCGTGCAGCTGAAATGGCATCTTTATGGTACACTTGACTACACTGAGTCAGCAAAGCTTGCTCTCCAGGGCATCCTCACTCAAGGATTTTTTCCCTTTTTTTCCCCGAACACATCGTGTGCCTAACAACTTAATATTCCTTTTTTTTTCCCCAAGAGGTGTTTGTGCAAACATACGGCAGATGTCCTAAACTCTGGCTCATCGTTTGATTTGATTTCCGTTTCAAGCGCGGGATTTGGGGGGAGACACAATTAGTCACTGTTGAGGTGATTAGCTGTTTAATGTACAGAGAGCAGGAAGCAGAGATTTCAAGTTGGCCCACCCCTTTTTCCCCAGGACATCGTCTGAGAAATACCCACGATCCTTTGAGGCAACGTCAGGGTAGGCTGAGAGCCGTTTCTATAAAGGCGTAACTCTGCAGTCGGTGGATTTCACAGGTGAAGTGCTTAGGATTGCGATGGGGGAGCCACTGCTGGCCGCCATCGAAAGTCCTCCCACGTCAGTCTCGGTTTAATTTATCGCTCAAAGGAGGGGGAGGAGATTTGGCTCGCTTGAGCGTGCCGTCTTAAGACCCGACCGTGAGGCGGGGCAAGAGGGGCGGAGCCGTGAGCCGCAAGCTGCCGTGGTTTTGGCGCCGATCTCCGAGGCTCCCGCTTCGACGGGGGCCCGTCCAGCGTACGTCCCCCTCCCTCCCTCCCCGCCGTGGTCCCCCTCTCCATCCGTCACACACAGCGGGGCCCCGCCTTCGGGAGGGCCCCTCTCCGTCAGCGCCGCTCTAAATGGGTCACCGGAGATCTCTCATCGCCTTCGAAACCCGCTTTTGGCCACCGCTCCGCTCCCACTGTAAGCACTCCGTCCCCCTTAATCTTATTCCGTCCCAGCTCTGACAAATGGCTAATTCCTCTCGATGAGCCGGAGGGCCGGCTTCAGCCGGGACCGGCTGCGTGGTTCTCCTCAGGAGCCAACCGTGACGAGGCAGAAAGAGGCCCCGTGACCGACTGGCACGCTTTACCTGCGCTTGCCGGCAACCTCCTGCCGCTCTCGGCTGGCGGAGAAGACATCTCCAATGGCGTCAATCCACAGTCCACAGTGCAGCATCACAGCTTATATTACATTATATTATTGGTATTTAGCAGATACTCTTATACAGCCACTTACATACGTTACAATTGTTACAGCTGGATATTTACTGAGGCAATTGTGGGTTAAGTACCTTGTCCAAGAGTACAGCAACAGTGTCCCAGCAGGGAATTTAACCTTTTGGTTATGAGTCCTGCTCCTTAACCACTATGCTGCACTGTCGCTTCAAGTGAGCATGTCTGGGTGTAGTTAACGTTTATTTGTTTAAGGTCAACATTTTCAGGCCAACATGGGGGGGCAAATAAGTTATCACAGAGAGGAATCAAGGTGTGCAAATCTACCGTCAAGGAGGCCCCCTAGTCTCTCTTTATTTGGAGATTCGCACCCCACGGCCATTTCAGGAGGAGGGGGGGAAGGTTTGCTTTCCTGCTTACGAGACTCTAACCCTTCCTCACTGCCTAGAGGACAAGGTCGCCGTCCTCCAAGGTGGCGGGAAAGGAGAAATCATTAAAGCGTCACATAAAAGAGGGATTTGAAGGTGGGGTAGCGGTATTCGGGGAAAAATGTGACAAGGCGCGCATTCGCTTTCTCTCGGCCGCCCGCTCCCTCTTTGTTTTTACGACGTTACACGCCGCATAAATCTCAACTGGTTTGCAAACAGGAAGCGTCGAATATAAAAAAAAAAGCAGAAAATCTAATATCCCCGTTCATTAAATTCACTGTTGGTTGTTTTATGGCACTCTTAACAATATATACATTGAGACAACTTCAGTGGTGTAATTTGTAATTCATGAAATGTCGCCTTTTCCTTGAAAAGTAATGAGGACGCCTATCGTGGTTGTCTTTGCCGTTTTCGCCCGCTCCGGCTTATTATCCGAACGGCAGGCGCATGAACCTCCATAAATTAGAGGGCGTGGAACATCAGCCGAGGTCTCTTCGATTGCGTGAGACATGGTGGTGGAGTTTTATTCGGGGTGTTTAAATTTTTTAACCCTCATCGAAAACATTTCCTTTTTTGAGCTTGGAAAATTCGTTACATTGCATTACATTATTAGCATTTAGTAGGCACTCTTATCCAGAGCAGCTTACATCAGTTCGTTTTTTTATAGTGTTATCCATTTATACAGCTGGACATTTACTGAGGCAATTGTGGGTTAAGTACCTTGCCTAAGGGTACAACAGCAGTGCCCCAGTGTGGAATCAAACTAGCAACCTTTTGGTTACGAGTCCTGCTCCTTAACCACTATGTTACACTACTGCCCCATTGCAAATTCTGGTTCAGTGCAGGGCCGGGTGGAGTCGGGTCGCCGTCCAAAACAGAGTCTAAAAGGGCATAAATCGGCGGATCCGGTTAGGAGAGGCAACAGGAGGATACATTTCCGTGCCAGGAACCGCACCTGAAAGCACGATTATAAATTCACCAGCTCTCACCGGCTGCTCAAGGAGAGATTCCATTAAGGAGGCCTTTCTGGTGAAATCACTTCACAAGTGTTCTCGCCTTAATTCATTCTCAGTCATTAGATTTTTTTTTTTTTTTTTTTGGGTTGTTGTTGTTGTTGTCGGTAATAATGTGGAAAATAAGCCTTAATAAATACACGCTGATTAGTATTTAGGGAAAGAAAAATACAAGAGCGTCTCTGGTTAGGAATTAGCGCGCGGCTAATGTAGCCCCCGTTGTTAGCGCGTCGGAGTCCGTTTGTAGGCTCCGACCTTGGGAGCAGGCGCTTTGGGGCGGTGCCAACGGGGGGGACCCGGCTGTGCGAAATATCATTTAAAAAGAAAACAACCCTACATTAATCAGCTTAGCCACCTTATTTAAAAATGCAGGGTTGTTGGGTCCCCCCAAATCCCTAAATTACACGCTTGGTGGGTTTGATCAGAGGAGGGGCGGCACTAGGAAGTGCAAACGGAGCTGAAATGCCACCCTTTTATTTAGCTAGCGACAAAAACGGGCCTGTAGCCAAGCCGCGAAACCGTGCGGCCGATTCTGCGGGAAGGCAAAACCCAGCAACGGTATTTGGTTGGACGAATTATGCATTTGAAGAGCTTGCGAGGGCCATCAACTTCATTTGTGTGGCGGCAGTGTAGCATAGCGGTTAAGGAGTAGGACTTGTAACCAAAAGGTTGCTGGTTCTTTTCCCCACTGGGGCGCTGCTGCTGTACCCTTGGGCAAGGTACTTAACCCACAACTGCCTCAGTAAATATCCAGCTTTATAAATAGATAACATTGTAGAAAATTGTAACTGATGTAAGTCACTCTGGTCGGGAATCTGGTAAATGATAATGATAATAATTTGTGCTTGGTGTTTGGTACGTCCAACCAGACACTTTCCCCAGGGGTTGGACATACTACGTCCAGATTGTAGTTCAGGTGTTTTTTTTTTTTTTTAGAATATCACAAATCGATTTCAGGCTCCCATGAGATACAGTGCGTGTGGTGAGAGATTGTTTAAAGGTACGTCGGCCCGCGTTTGTCCTTTCGCGGCCTAAATGCCAGACACTACACAGTGTTCGGCGTTCAGTCTGGTCTGGAGTAGAACGGCGGCGTGTGGTGAGCTGTGGTTTTTATACGGCGCGCCTGGCGGTTTATGTGTTTGTGTGTTCACAGGAGACACCCCGAGGAAATGAGACTGAAACCCGCCATACGGCGATTCCCCCCGCTGTGTTTATGTACGTGTCTGTGTGATGGAGTGCCGTCACTACAGTTGAGCATGTGCTTTGACTGCCATACCAATGAGCCTGGCTGTTTGGCGTCGCGGTCAAAGTCGCATGTTTGGTACCCCGTAGACCCAGGTTCGAGGCCGGGTGGGGTGACTGCTCTCGCCCTTCACTACAGTCTGATTGGAGGATAACGGCAGCGGCGTTCAAATGCGAACAATAAAGCAGATCAGGCTCTGGCTCTTGAGGCGAGAACACCAGCA